GATCACCAGCAAACTGTGTTTTTGCAATTTCGAGGTCAACCGTGCTTGAATCTTATCGGAGAATTTATTTTTCCTCTCGTCGCACAAGAACTCTTGTGGTCTTACTTTAAAATTCTTTTTGAGAGTCACCCGAACATCTTACTACCATTTCTTGTATGCGCTGCACAAAGCGATAGTTGTCAATTTTGTCGACAGTTGGAGCAGCCACTGTCGTCATTAGACAGTATTTTCCAAGTCACCTTGCTTTGCCTCAATCCTACGCTGCATCGCTGCCTATCCACTTACCGGGTGGATCAATAGCACACACGTCGCCTATCCACCCTAAGGAACTTGTGGCTCATCTGGACGTGACACGTTTGGCTCCTCTGACCTACACGAAAACCTTATAAATCCCCCTGCTACTTACAAATAAGCAGTAGTCACCTTAGCAGCTTACATGCCACCTCGATTGGTGGCGGCTTGCAAAGGAAGTCGTTGCTCTGGGGGCCAGCCCTGTCCTCAGCACATTCATAACGTGCAAGACAGTGGAGGATGTGCCGCGCTATATCGCAGTTAGATATCAGTCATGGCGGTCCGCTGCCGTCGCCCATGGCTCAGTGAACTAAGTCGCTGACTCTCAAGAGTAAGATCGTGGGTTCGAATTCGGCGGGGGCATGCTACTGACGATTCCCAATGGGACGAAACGGCCGTCAAGCGCTTTCCTGGATGTGTGGTGGCTGTCTGCCTGTGTGTAACAACGACGAACCTGCACGAGGACAAAGGAACGTCGTTGAAGCGGACTCTAGCCAACAGTACGCAAGAGCTGACTACACGGTCAGCTCACGTGGACCAGTCGACTCCTGACGTTCGAATCAAGTGGTCAATAATCACTTGGATCTGTAAGTGGCCCGCATAAATTGCACTGATGATATCTGCTAGCCTGAGGATGAAACGTTTGCAGCCAACTCAACCAGGTCGGCGAACACGCGTATACCCTCACGGAAGTGTATCGTTACGAGGAATTTACTCTGGCGAAGATACAAGGGGTCATCGAGTGCCGAAACATGGGAAGCCTACACTATCCAAAGGAATCACTGCGTAAATCTGGTACGCAAAGATAAAATACAGCACCAACAGAATCTAGCCTAGAAATTCCTTTCAAACCCCAAGCTCCTGTACAGACACGTTAACAAGCTAAGCAAAGTACATCGAGGAATTCCTGCTCTACGCACATTGTGCGGACTTACACAAAACGCAACCGAGGCGGCCAACGCCCTATGTCAACAATTCGCCCCGAACTTCCAGAGCACGACATCGCCGCATACACTGTTCCCGATTATTGTACCACCACCAAGACTTAGCCACATCAAGTTTATGACTGCGGATATTATGAAAAGGCTAATTGCCCTGCGCGGACATACAATGAACAATGATTTATCACGGGATAAAAGCAAGTGCTTGACACGTCCCGTAGGATGGTTGAGGTGAATATGATGAAATCAAAATATGTCTGGGTCATCTATCGAACGTCTGCCGAGATGAATAGTTTGATAAGTAACATCAATGTAAAATTAAAATACATTATCGGGCGTAAATGTTCAGAAAGACACTGAGGTGCAGTGATCATTAAGCTAAAGAGTCAGAAAAGTAAAATATGGTCGCTCACTTAGGTCCATTTGATACATAAATCCTATTGAAATGCATCCTTGGCGTAATCCACAGTAGGGGAGTTTAGGTAACAAAATGTTGGGAGCTAAGAGCAACATCTAATCGTTTTTTGATAATTTTCGTCCAAAGGCGTTGAGATTGGCTGCAGTAACCCTGGCGGACCTACTCTGCAACTTCTTCCAACGATGCCTCGAAGAGATGTGGGTGCCAACAATGTGGAAGCAGGGCATCGTCATTCCCATCCATAAGTTGTACAGATCCGGCCAACTATCGCCCGATAACACTACTTCCGGTGCTCTCCAAAATCATGGAACCGATTGTTGCCGAAGCGCTCATGAACTACTTGGAAGAACGCAATATCATAGCACAAGAACAACGTGGATTTCGCAAGAACCGATCTTACACTTCAAACTTACTACTTGCTAGATCCAGTTGGACTGAGACCGTCGACAGCGGCGTAGGTATTGACGCAGCATATCTAGACTTCTCAAAGGACTTTCACCGTCTGAACCACCGTATCCTCCTTCACAAGCTACAGTGTTGTGGAATTGGTGACCCAATCCTCGGTCGGACAGGTAACTTCTTGCTTCAAGGACATCTGAGGGTAAGAGTTCACGGCGTCATCTCTGACCCAATCAACGTTAAGTGCGAAGTGCTCCAGGGCTCAGTACTCGGTCCACGACTATTCCTGATTTATATAAACGATTTCGCGATAGTAATCACCTCCAACTCCTTACTCTTCGCTGCTGATCTCAAGATATGGCGAGCCATTAGAACAACCAGCGACAATGCAACACTTCAGGATGACCTTGACAGGATCTACGAATGATCGACTCAGAACCTGCTTCAGTTCAACGGTACGAAGTGCAAGGTGCTGAGCATACGCCATAAAGCCACTTGCAAATACAGACTGGAGGATCAAATATTGCAGCGCAGTTCAACGGAATGCGATCTAGGCGTGATAGTGCAGGAAGATCTGGGATGTTCCCTTCAGGCCGAGAAAGTCTCCAAAAAATCTAACTAACAAGTTGGCCCTTTGCGGAAGGCATTCGGACGCTTCGATCCTTCCATCTTTTCTCAAATGCTCAACGCCTACATTTGGCCTCATTCTGAGTACGCCATCCACGCCTGGCAGCCATGGCAAAAGCAAGACCTTACCGCTCTTGAATTGCCACAACGAAAGGCGACCAAGAACGCAAACGGCCTGTTTCATCTCCCTTACCGATTGAGGCTGAATACCCTCGGGGTCTACAATGGACAATATCGACGCCTGCTTGGCGACTTGATAATGACTTATATGATCCTGAGGAATCCAAACCATTCTTGTCGTCACCTACTGTTGGGCGGAGCCTGGGATACTAGTCGGTAAGCAATGGCAAGTAAGACGTGTCAAATACGACAACATAGAAGTCGGAGGTGACTGAACCCAACGTATACTGTGCAGGCTACAAGAATAGGAAGCGAATCAGACAGAGTGAGAAACGTGCAGCGAGGTACTCGCCAAAACGGTTTGTGTCAACGGATGTGCAGTCAGTAAAACAATTGGACGTTTCGGAAGTTAAAACAACCGTAACATCCAATGTTACAAAATACTGCAAGGGCCTCCCCCTAGAAGCCTGAAGGATGGAAGCCTTCGATAGAGCTGTTAGTGGGGGACAACGGAAGGTGTGGGTGGCTGTGAATATTTGCATGGGCTTGAGTAAGGGCTTCCAAGGTGGGGTGTGTAGCAGAGTTCGCTGGGTCCAGGCTTTTGTTAGTTATTATTTATGACGATTGTGCGGACCAGAGTACATCATCGGTGGGCCGTCGGGGCGGGCTGGTCGGACTGCAAAAACTGGCTAGTCCAGAAGAAAGGTCGACAGGACCTTCCCTTTGCTGCAGACCCGACGGTGCGCTTGGGAGGTGTCACTCTCCCCACCGTATTTTAGTCCACGGTCCTCGTCCCACGAAGAAACCCAGGTGTCCTTATCCCACGAAGAAATCCGGCGTCTTCGCAAGCAACACATAGGTGGCGTTTGGGAACCAATCCGTTAGTGGCTGTCTACGGCAGAGGGCGACTGTCTGTTCCTTGGGTGAGGAAGGGGGTCTTGGACATGCTGGCGAGTCACTCGGGGTTGCGTTGAGCCGGTTGGCGAGTCACTCGTGGGTTGCCTGGGCAGTTCCGGCGGTGGAGTTTCTGGAAGGTAGAACTCAGAGGGAGTGGACAAGGGTCGGGGAAGTGGCTTGATGCCGGAGAGGGAACATTGTATGCATGATAAAAGCAAATACGCTTTTTAGCTTTTCAATATGTTTCGGGGTTTTTTTTCTTGATTTTGCAAAACGTTTGTTCATGAGACGCAGGATAGCCACTAAAGACGAAAAAGGCGTGTTAATGAAAATAGTAAACGTTTACAAAATCTGCAAAACGGACCGGACGATACCCATACACCTCTACCCTTACTTTATCCATTTTAATCTACTTCATCACTATTCTTTTCACCTTTTAACTTATTTAATTTAAACCATATCACTTTCATACCCACATATCTTTATCAATTTCTCTATCAACATTAATTTAATCAAGATTCACTCAACTATCCCAATATTCTATCTAATTACACCCCTAATAACTTATCCCCCCAAATATACACCCTACCCCATAAACTTCTACCCTAATCCTCCCACATCCCTTTCCTATACTTTCTTCATTCTTTTCTCTCCCATCTACCTTATCCTTCTTCCTCCTATTCTATCCTTACTCCCTCTACCTCATATCCAAATCCCCCACAACTACATAACCCTCTTTCTTTTACTTTCTACTATCCCTCCATCTAATCTACTTTCTCCCTCCCCCTAACTTCCTTCTCCACACCTCCCCCCTCATCTTTTCTTATCCCCCTCCAAACCACTACCCCAATCTCTCCCTAATCCCCTACCCCCCCAATATTATCCCAATCCTACCTCAAATCATATCATCTCCATCACCTCTACCTCTCTCCCATAAAACTACCTACTTTACTTCTTCTTTCTCTCTCTTCAAACCTCATACACATTCCCTAACCCCCACCTAATTATCATTTATCACTCATATTACATCCATCTATTCCCCCATCCCCTAATCCTTCTCACCTAATATCCTCAAATCCCTTCTAACTTACCTAATACCACTATTCATTTCACCTAACTATCCCTCTCCCCCCTTACTCCCTTCACCCCCTATCCCCTATATATCACATACTTTCCATTCAAATTCCAATTATCCTTATTCCCCATACCTCCATACACTCCAATCTATCCTTCTTCCCATTCACCACTTAACCTATACCATCTTCCCTCTCTACTTTCTTTCCATCCCCCCCCCTCTACCATATAAATCAACCCCCCCCCCCCCCCCCCCCCCCCACCCCCCCCCCCCCCCCCCCCCCCCACCCACACCCTTTTAAAACCCCAAACCCCACAAAACCACCCCCCCCCCCCCCCCCCCCCCAAACCCCAAAAAAAAAAAAAAATACTAAAATATCCCCCCCCCCCCCCCCCCCCCCCCCCCCCCCCCCCCCCCCCCCACAGTATTCCTCTGACGATGTACTTTAGAGCGCTGGCATTGAAGGCAAGCGCGAGCCCAGGTACGAACATCTTTGTTTACGCGTGGTCAGACGAAACGTTCGGTGACCAGTTTCAAAGATGCACGGATACGGGGATGTGATAGTGAGTGCAGTGCGTCAAAGACTGTGCGTCTGAAGGAGACGGGCACGAGGGGTCTAGGACAACCTGTGGAAGTGTCACAGAGAATGGTTCCTTCCGTGGTTTGGAGAGGAACAGGTTGCACATGCAGCGAAGTGGACTGCAGAGTGCGCTGTATGTCTTCCTCTTGAGCCTGAGCCGATGCCATAGCGGCCAGGTCGACGGTAGGCAAAGACTGCAGAGTGAGGTTGACGCGTGAGAGAGCGTCAGCGACGGGATTGTCGACACCTGAGACATGGCCTATGTCAGCAGTAAACTGCGTGACAAAGTCTAGGTGTCTTGTTTCCCGTGGTGAGTATTTGTCGCAAGCCAAGTTGAAGGCAAAGATAAGGGGCTTGTGGTCAGTGTAGACCGTGAAAGCGCGGCCTTCGAGTGTGTGCCGGAAGTGACGTATCGCTGGGTAAATGGCGAGCAGTTCTCTGCCAAACGTGCTGCAGCGGGATTCCGCTGGCTGCAGGCGCTTGCAGAAGAACCCAAGGGGTTGCCATTTTCACCGACGTGTTGTTGGTGGACGGCTCCTACCGCGACGTCTGAGGCATCAGTCGTAATAGAAAGGGGTGCAGTCGATTCGGAATGAGCGAGGAGGGCTATGTTAGAGATAGCATCTTTGAGCTCGGCGAAGGCTGCCTGTGCTGTGTCAGGGAAAGCGAACTTACGTTCATTTCCTCTGAGTAGGTCAGTCAGTGGTTGCATGAGCTGAGCGCAGCGCGGAATGAAGCGTCGATAGTAGTTGACCAAACCACAAAATCGACGGAGGTGCTTGAACGAAGTCGGAGCTGAGAAGTCCTTGATTGTCTGGATCATATCAGGAAGCACTTCGATACCAGACGATGAAACGAGGTGGCCTAGGAATTCTACCGTTGATTTGCCGAAATCGCACTTAGGGTTGAGTGTGACACCGTGTTTGGTCAAGCGCTGGAAGAGAGTTCGGAGATGCTCGAGGTGCTCCTGTTCCGATGAACTGGCTACTAAAATATCGTCGAGGTAAGAATAGGCGAAGTCTAGGCCACGAGTGACATCGTGGATGAAGCGTTGGAAGGTTTGTGCAGCGTTGCACAGTCCAAATGGCATTCTTAAAAATTCAAACAAACCGAAAGGAGTGATGACGGCTGTTTTAGGAATGTCATTGTCTTCCACAGGTATCTGGTGATAGGGGCGAACCAGATAGATCCTGCTGAAGATTGTCTTACCTGTGAGGCATGCGGTAAGGTCCTGCATGTGTGGGATGGGATACCTATCTGGGACGGTTAGGCGATTGAGTGCGCGGTAATCACCGCAAGAGCGCCAGTCACCAGATTTCTTGGGGACTATCTGCAGGGGCGAGGACCAAGGGCTGTCGGAAGGGCGGATTATTCCAAGTTCAAGCATGTGCTCAAACTCCGCCCTAGCTACCTTTAGTTTTTCAGGCGATAGTCGGCATGGACGGCATGACACAGGTGGGCCATACGTCCGCATGTGGTGCGTGAGTTGAGCTACCACGGGCAAAGCTGCGTTCATTGGTTGAACGAGCTTGGGACACTGAGAAAAGAGATTAGCGTAGTCTGGCGAGGTCTGGGGAAATGCATAGACCGGGGATATAGATGTGACATCGGCGGTGATGCCACGTACACTGAGTTTCGTTGCAGCGTCGACTATCATCTGACGTTTCTCATCGACCAAGAGGTCGAAATGCCTGAGAAAGACAATGCCGATGATGGCAAAGGGGACTGCAGCGACAGTGAATACCCAGCGGAAAGTGCGCCGAAGACCTAGGTCCAGGGTAAGCGACCGATGACCGTAGGTGGCTATTTGGGTGCGATTGGCGGCACTGAGGCTTGTCGACAGAGAAGCGGTAGACTCACCTGGCATAGGGGGAATGACGCTGACTTCCGCCCCGGTATCAACTAAGGACTGGGTTTCGGAGTCATAATCCCTAATATAGATGAGACGACTTTGGGCTTTGCCGACGTTCGTGGCCATTTCAGCCCGGCGTGGCGGATCATCTATAGCGGAGTAGCTACACGGCTGTACACACTTACGGGCTTTATTACCGAAACGCGAGTGGTAAAAGCAGTAACCTGTGACATCAGGTTTTGTGCGACGGGGCGATGATCCAGAGCGGTTATGGTGTTTACGGTTTACACTTATGTTAATTATCAAAGTATTCATCTCGGCAGACGTTCGATAGATGACCCAGACATACTTTAATTGCATCATATTCACCGCAACCATCCTACGGGACGTGTCAAGCACTTACTTTTATCCCGTGATAAATCATTGTTCAAGTGAGTTCCTCGATCTGGCGCTGAAGCGACGCTATCTGCAATGATAATGCGTCTATTGCCGACGGCGGGCTAGTCGCGCCTGTCGTTGTGGTTGCGCCAGCACAAAGCTGCTTAGGTGCTTTGGTTTCAGTCTCTGGCTGGTGCCGTTCGACGACGCGGTCTGCTAGATCTGCAATTGCTGTGATGGGCAAGTCACTTGCTACTGCAAGGATAGCCTGAGTGCTTGCAGAAAGACGTTGCATCCACAGCTCGCGGAGAATCCCTACGCCCATGTTGGACGTGCCGATGAGCTGTTGCATTTCGCGCAACAAGGCTGAGGGCATCCTATCTCCTAGCTGCAGATCACTAAATAGTTGCTGGAGGCGGACCTTGTCAGAAGGCGTGATTCGCTGAATAATAGCCTGTTTAAGAGTCTCGTATTTCCTTACTAGAGCGGGCAAATTATGATGTCTCTCACCTACGGGGATATACTCTGAGGAAGGCAAGATATTAGCTGATTATACATGGCGAAATCAGAAGGAATCCTGCGAATATACAATACGGATTCTAGGTGCAAAAACCATAATAAAGGATCATTCTCCCAAAAAGGGAGAGGGGCTAAGGCAACAGAATGGACCATGACAGGCTGAACGGCTTTAACGGCGCACGGAGATGGCTTATCCTCTAGATAATCCATCGCAAAAAGCAGATAAAAAATGTGGTAGGTGAGAAAACAATATGATCACAAGTAATGAATCGCAAAATCACTGGAACGAGCTCACCAGGATGAAAATGCAAAATGGCGGGCGGCGTGTTCCTGATAGGGGGTCACCAATTGGTGGGCGGAGCCTAGGATACTACTCGGTAAGCAATGACAAGTAAGACGTGTCAAATACGACAACATAGAAGTCGGAGGTGACTGAACCCAACGTATATTGTGCAGGCTACAAGAATAGGAAGCGAATCAGACAGAGTGAGAAACGTGCAGCGAGGTACTCGCCAAAACGGTTTGTGTCAACGGATGTGCAGTCAGTAAAACAATTGGACGTTTCGGAGGTTAAAACAACCGTAACATCCAATGTTACAAAATACAGAAAGAGCTTGTTTTCCGGTACACTGCACTACTAGAGCCGAATAGCAATACCACACTCAGAGGATACCATCTAAAGCTGGACACACAATGCAGCCTGTTGGAATGCCGCCGGAATTTCTTTTCCTTTCGCGTGTGTCACTGGAACGCTCTTCCCACCTAGGTTATTTCTTCTCCCACGCTAACGGTATTCAAAAGACGTCTGGATGATTCGCTTTTCCACTTACATTACGCTATATAATCAGAGACGTATACGTCAACCAAACGCCAACAAATGGTGCTCATTCTCAGCTTACTACTTATACGCTGCTGCTGTGGAATATCGTTCGGATATACCACAACTGCACTCATCAATTACCTCAGTCCAAGAAAGCGGCGCAAGAGTAAGAGTTGTCGTTTCTTTTGTTCTTGAGACATACGTTCCCCATATTACTTCCCCATATAACTCTACAGCAACAAGTCAATACGCATTCTAAAATGTTTTAATGGAGTAGGGCATTTGAATCGCTAGGCACTTAAATTGACGATTTACACTTATGTTTGCTTTCACCTCAATCATCCTACGGGACTTGTAAAGCAATTTCTTTTTTACCTGTAATATATCATTGTTCATATGTGTTGAGGTGCACCAGTTTTAAGTACCAAATCCACAAACTTTGCTTCAATCTCACCATGCCCAGGCATCAAATGCACATCAGGGCATCGTATTGGAGGACAGTTAAAATCGCCCTATAAGTAGAAAATATGGGCGACTCATGTGGGTTCGAAGATGGGGCAGCCAATCTGAACAACGACTCAGGGGACTGCGATAGGCTACGTTCAAAAGTAGTTCTACGCGCCTGAGGCGGATGGAGCACCACAGTAGCTCACACAAACTATCATCACTTTGGTAGGTACTCACAAGTCCCACGTAGGGAAGACTGGATATAAAGCAAGACACCATAGCGGGCATTCGTTAGTCTATCGCATCGGAAGCATGAGTAATCGTTGAGTTCAAGTTCCTGGGTGTATAAATCTGAATGCAGCCATGTCTTTGCGAGTCCCATTACGTCACGCCGCTCAGACACAAAGAAACAACAAGGCTCATCGCGCTTGTTCATAACACTGCAAACGTTGATGAAGGCTACTCGCAGGCCGCAGCAGGAGCCACCGTGCGTGCTTGAAGTGTGAGCAGCCTGGTTATCCTGATTGGCGGTTCTAGGAAACCACCCGAAAAGTTACGATACGAAGATTTGTTTCCCCCTCACCAGTACTTCTTTTCAGCTCAACGATGGCAGACTTGAGCCGCTCCCTGTCTACTGAGTCCAGGTCTGGACGAACATGGATCTGCAGAGCTTTTAGCCTACTTAGGCGGGACATGATCAGTCTTGGGCTGGCTTCGTCCACAAAACTGATTCTCATAGGCCGATTTTGTTGATTACCTTGCTTTCCAAGACGGGTAATTTGCCTCACTTTTGCCGAGTCCTCACCAGCGTCGAGGAGTCTGTCAATCAGACTGTAAAAACGACATCGTGATCGTAGCGCACTTGGGGTGATGGATCACTGGAATCCGGCGCCTGGAAGGTCACTAAGTTATGATGCCTCTGATCGGACGAGGTTGACCTTGCAGGGTGAAGTACATTACCAGATTTACGTGGTTTGACTAACCGTTGACTTAGAGAAGTTAAAAACCCAACATCCCTTCGTAATTTAGTTCTTTGTTCTTTCCACTCGTCTTCAGCACTCAGGCTTTCACATACTGGGACAGCTGTGCTCTTTGGACAAAACAGAGGCAAACACTTTATGCCAGGTGAAACTGGGCTTCTCTCAACGGTTGGACTTCGCACCGGTGTGTTTGCACGGGTAGTGGAGGAAGACTGAGCTGAAACCTGAAGGCTCTTCGGGCTAGGTTGTTGGGCCAAACAAACGGAGCTGTTCGCAATGAAATGATGAAGCCTACACGTTGGCTTTACTCTTCCTGGCTGTATCTTGTTTTGGCAATTTTCACAAAGTCTGAACGAAATCGTGTTGGAATTGGTGTTACCCCGCCTATTTCGAACACCTCTCCAATTCCCCGACTTTTAGATGCCATAACCCAAGTCACCTGGGTCTTTTGCCCTACTGCCCGAAACCTCAGGTCACATCACTGTCACGTGCGCGCTCAAGGTCAGACCCTAATCCACTCAGTGGATGGACACCACACATTCACGCAGGCACAAACACACACACACACACACACACATACCGAGCTTATCGTGTCGCCAGTGAACGTATATTGTTTTGTCAGTGGTCGATTACTCAGGGTTCTGTCCAGACGTGTTATCCATGATAGGGTTCTGAGGCCTACGGAGCATACGCCCTCGTACATTTACTTACTGTGACTAATACGTACCATTTGGCGAATGAGATTACCAGGTCCATTGTGAATACACCCAAGCAGTTTTGGTCATGTTCTACAGAAAAGCCACTGTGGCTAGTTGGGATAGATTTTTTGATTACCTAGAATTACTTCAATCTTGAATCCACTATTCTGTCTTACAGAGTTGATGAAGAAGGCCAGCGATACTTCGACGCCCTCCGGATTTACGATGTCTGTACAACCGCAACCAGTGTCTTGGATTCCTTCACTGCTATCTCGGGTGTTCGACAAAGCGTGTTTACGGCCGGGTACTATTTTTCCTGACTTTACCAGAGCCCCGAAGAAAGTGAAATGAAGTCATCGCTCGTATACACCAGGCTACCCCTGATTGCAGATACAATGAAGTTGCTCCGGCGAAGTTCGAAGAAACTATGTTCCTTCAGTGCCTGATAGCTGGCGCATCAGAGTGGAATACACGGGAAAAATTCCTTTCACAGGATGACAGTGCACTTAATTGGGAGACGACTTGTTCAAGTGCGCACCAAAGAGAGAATCTAAGGCAACAAATGTCCGCATTTACTCTACCAGCTCCTTCCGAAAGGGTACAGTTGATGAAAAGGGCGGCACAACTAACTAGAATGTCCGTGGACGAAAAACCGCTTGTATGCTACTGATGTGGTAGTCAACATGTATGCGCCTGTGAATGTCGACACCAGAAAACAGTGCCGAAATTGTGGGAAGGTTGGTCGTTTAGCACAAGTATCCAGGTCAGTCAACCTGAAACCGGAATTGCATAAACCAAGGGCAAAAACAATAAAATCGGTGGACTGTGGTGAAGTAGACCAACCAGTGTTACATTTACTAGGGCTGAATACTTTGTCCAAGCTGCGTTCAGCGCCATGCACTGTGGAGCTCCACATCCAAGGGTAGAAAGTAGTGTTGGAGATAGCTACGGGAGCCTCGGTGACACTAAGTATGGCGAACGTTGTGAAGCACTTACCCCCTTGTCATCATGCACTTCCAGTTTTTGGACGTACACAGGTGAGCTGATTCTTGTACTCGGTACAAGCCTTGTCCAGACACAATGTGGCATAGACACACAAACTTCCTGTGTATGTAGTGTAGGAAGATCGACCGGATCTACTGGGGAGAGGCTGCATGGACGCATTCCCAAATG